AATGATGCCCTGGCTATCCGGGAGAAGACACTGGGCAAGGACCACCCAGCTGTAAGTAAGAATTAGATTGAGTATAGCCCTCCACTCCTCACAAGTTCCAGAGTTCCTGCCTGTTAAAGGCTCTAAATGAAAACACTTTCATTCTCTTATACCCCAGGTGGCTGCAACCCTGAACAATCTGGCTGTTCTTTATGGCAAGCGGGGCAAATACAAAGAGGCTGAGCCACTGTGCAAGCGAGCACTGGAGATCCGGGAGAAGGTAGGAGAGGGTAGGGCTTAGGAGTGCTGGCCAGACATAGTAGAGTCTGAGCAAGTCTGACCACAACCACTGACTCTTCCCAGGTCCTGGGCAAGTTTCACCCAGACGTGGCCAAGCAGCTCAGCAACCTGGCCTTGCTGTGCCAGAACCAGGGCAAAGCTGAGGAGGTGGAATACTACTACCGGCGGGCCCTGGAGATCTATGCCACACGCCTTGGGCCTGATGATCCCAATGTGGCGAAGACCAAGAACAACTTGGTGCTCTGAGGCGGGACTGGGGGCTGGAGAGGCAGGAGCTCCGCAGGGACAGAGGGCTGATGTCCAGGAGGAAGGAAAAGGAAACTAAACTCCCTGCATGCTGCTTACCCACTGTCTTTACTTTCCAGGCTTCCTGCTATCTGAAACAGGGCAAGTACCAGGATGCAGAGACCCTGTACAAGGAGATCCTTACCCGTGCTCATGAGAAGGAGTTTGGCTCTGTCAATGGTGAGTCCATGGCTGCCATGTGCCTCTAGTTCATTCAGCAGAAGCCTACTCAGCTAGGAGCACCCAGGACAGTACCTGGTCTTACAGATCATCCTACCCACATTCTGGCAGGAAGCCCAGCCTCACCTGTGGATGGGGCCCACAGGAGCCCACTCACCTAATTTATTGCTCTGGAAAGACAAATTGACAAACCCCATGCTGAGTCTCCTCCTTTCTCATTCCCCTGCTTTTATTTTGTTTTGAGACAGGGTCTCATTATATAGCTCTGGCTGTCCTGGAACTCACTATGTAGCTCAGGCTGGCTTTGAACTCATGGAGGTTCACCTGCCTCTGCCTCCCAAGTGCTGGGATTAAAAGTGCCACTATGCCCATTCTCCTCCTTTCTCTACATGATGATTCCTGTTCACTTTGAGGGCTGGCCCCAAGTGTCTTTGCTTCTCAGAAACAGCCTCTTGCTCTGTATTGCTAGCCATTCCTAATGCCCATCCCTCAGCCTGGTCCTCATTCAGGTGTACCGCCAGTCTCTGGTCTAAGGTGTGTAAGGGCCTGCCACATCACTCCTAACCCCACCTCATTCATAGACATTTGACACAGACCTGTGGCCTGCTCATCTGGGTACAGAGGAGGGCCAGTAATGTTTTGAGTTTGCTGCTTGTTCATCTATTCAACAAAACCCAGTCCTGGTCCTGGCCCTTCCTGATGGGAGATGTCATTCTGTATATGTTTCTCATACTGGTTAATGAATAAAGCACTGTTGGCCAATAGGAAAGGAAGATAGGAGGGACTAGAGACAAGGAGGAAATAGGAAGTAGTAAGGAGTCAACATACTCCTGTCCCCTTCCCCAGATATTAGTCCTTTGTCTAGCCCAATTGGAAAGACTTATATGGCAGGTAGGTGACAGTCTCCTATTCCTTCCCAGGAGAGAACAAGCCCATCTGGATGCATGCAGAAGAACGAGAGGAGAGCAAAGTGAGTAGCACTGTGGGCAGAGCTTGCAAGTGTGGGGAGGCTGTGAGGCTGGGATGTATGGAGCTGAGAGTCTACTCCCATCCCCAACTAACTGGTCTTTCCCCCAGGATAAACGCCGAGACAACGCCCCCTATGGGGAGTATGGCAGCTGGTACAAAGCCTGTAAAGTTGACAGGTGAGGGCTGATAGGTCTGGGTTAGAGGTAAAGTGAGTAGCAAGGAGGAAGCGTCCTTGGTCAGTGAGACCCAGGCCTCACACTGTCTTTCACCTCTGAGACACTTCTCTTCTGTTACCTCATCTGTTAAGGACCCAACCCAAGAAGACTTTCTGCACTGGGAGAGCTAGGTTCACTCACTCCTGGGTCTCCCAGCTTCTGGTCCTGGTGGCAGTGTCCTGGGAGAGCTCTAGGGCCAGGCCAGGTTTCTAGCCCTAGAGTGGTTCAGGATGGATCTACCACAGGGGAAGATGAATAGGAAAGGCCAGAATCTGGATGGCCTTTTTGGTCCCCAGAGTCCCATGTGGGCTGATTGCTAGATAGAGTTTGATACTTCCCTGCTATCTGTCCACAGTCCCACAGTCAACACAACTCTGCGAAGCTTGGGTGCCTTGTACCGGCGCCAGGGCAAGCTGGAAGCTGCCACACACACTGGAAGATTGTGCCAGCCGTAGCCGCAAGCAGGTGGGGCTTCATGGTGGAGGACGGTGAGTAGGGACCTTTGAGGCTCCATGTGTTCCAGTCAGGCTCTGATGCTTCCTGTCCCCTTTCAGGGCCTGGATCCTGCCAGCCAGACCAAGGTGGTGGAACTCCTAAAAGATGGTAGTGGTGGACGAGGGGGCCACCGTGGCAGCCGGGATGTGTCTGGGGGTACTGCGCCTCGGTCTGAGTCTGACCTGGAGGAGTCAGGGCCTGCCGCAGAGTGGAGTGGGGTGAGTGTGGGGGCTAAGGTAGGTTGTAAGTCTACAAAGAAAGTAGGGCTTAGAGACAATTCTTCCCCCACAGGATGGCAGTGGCTCTTTGCGGCGCAGTGGGTCCTTTGGGAAGCTCAGGGATGCTCTGAGACAGTAGCAGTGAGATGCTGGTGAGGAAGCTGCAGGGGGGTGGCCCACAGGAGCCCCCTAATTCTAGGTGAGTTTCTGTCCCTGATTGTATCCTGTTGGCTCCCAAGTGACATCCCTCCCTCTCAGGAAACACTAGTACCAAGTCTGCTTTATTTTGCCCTTGAGACCCAGCCTAATGGCCCTTTACTGTTTCACCATGAATAAATCCTGGTCCTCCTTTTCCCTCAGGATGAAGAGGGCTAGCCTCTCTCAACTTCCTTAACAAAAGTGTGGAAGAGCCAGTTCAGGTAAGAGTGGAGGGCATCTGGCATTAGGCAGTCTAGACCCAGGCCCCTACCCTATAGTTCTGACCCCTTGGTCTGCGTATGTTCCCACTCAACTTTATCTGGTGAGTCTTCATCCAGCAACAGCCCAATTTGGGCTGGGAGGATACAGGTAGAAACAACTAGGGGCAGGTAGGTAAAGGGGAACATAGCCCTAAGCCAGTAGCAGCTTGAAGCTCTCAGGCCCTAGGTGTGAGCTAAACTTTAACTCTGGCCACTCTTTGACTCTGTGTATTTGCTCTAGGGACTTGGTCAGTCCCTTTTCTACATCCTATACTTGTCTGTGTCCCCTCCCCTTACTCTCCCCATTTCCTTCACTCCCAGAAGCTTGTCTAAGCTACATGCCCTCTCTACTTTGCCCACAGCCCGGAGGCACTGGTCTTTCTGACAGCCGGACCTTGAGCTCCAGCTCCATGGACCTCTCCCGAAGAAGCTCCCTTGTGGGCTAAAGCTGAAGGGGCAGCCAGTCTCCAGAGCCTTCATTTGACACGACCCCTTACCCCAGCCCTGCGCATGGGCCTGCTGCTTGTCCTGCCTGCCCCCTCCCAAGGACCCCTGTCTTTTCTGTTCAATCTCAGGGTAACCTCCCTTGTCATCTCAGCCGGAGCCCTGGAGGCCGGGCCTGCCCACCCCAACTCTACTCCTTATTTATTCCTTCCAGCAGGGGGCCTCTCTTCCCTACATTCAGGGCCTGTGGGAGTGGTGGCCTGCCTACCCAGCCCCCAAAGCCAAGAACACTTAAGTACTTCCTGTCCCCTTAGCATCTTTGTCCACCCCCACCCCACCCCCTATCCCCGGCCGTTGCTTCTGTATATAGAGAAATAAGTTATTGGCCTTGTCATCCTCTCAGTCCTCCTCCCTTCAGTCCACTGTATTCCCGGGCCGCCACCTGCCTCTCTCTTCTCCAGTGGTACCGCCCAGGCCTTAAATCACCCCTGTTCCGAGTGGTGGTATCTCCCAAGCTCCAAGTTCTAGGAGCAGAGCCTCCTGAAAGGGTTCCCCAATCTCCTTGCCATCCTTGTTTTGGAGGGATGTGCTCTACCCAACTTTGCACATGTCCGGACTCCCCACACTACCGGGCCCTGTATTGCCTCCCGGACTTAAGCACGGTCCTTTGCGCCCAGCTCCACCCAGGCATGGCCTGACCCCACCCTGGGCACAGCCCATTGAGCCATCCTGCCACGCCTTCCTTGCCTCAGCTTCTAATGTCCCCTCCACACACACCCGCAGTAGGAGGGGCTACCCCATTTGATGGGTGAGGCAGTCGCTCTCTATTTTCAGATGTTGCTGTAGAAATAAAGACGATTTGAATCTGAGCCAGGCTTGTTTTGAGAAGGCTCAGAATCCCTGAGCATCCCTAGGGTATGGTGGAATCTGGTGGAGTGAGGGACACACACATCGTGCCCTGTCCCTTGAAGCTTACCTGCCCTTATCCTGAACTGTGTGAAGAAACGCTACAGATTTGGAATTTATACTAAAGCATGCCCTTATGGGGTTGTAGATAATTCCGTCTTTGAGTTCTACTCCACAATACGTTCTTGGACTGAATGAGTGTCCCGAGATGATTTTTCATGTATAATACTAGTGATGACAGTTCCATCCCACGAAGAACGCTGATTAAGTCGAGTTTTTCTGGTCCTAAATACGTCGTACCATCTCGTTTAAAGTTTTCAATCTGTAAACCAAGAGGGTGGCTGCCCATCTCAGGTGAACCATACTTACCCCCGGCGTTATACAAGAGTCTAACCCGCGGATAGTCCAACCAAGATACCGCAGCAGGTCGTTCAGGCAGTAAGACTACATACCCCAGGAAGCAGTTCGCGGGTTGCGACTGGAGCGCACGGCTGTGTGGGTTGGCTGGGTTGCGCCTGCGCAGCAGTGGCAAATCGAGTATCTGGGAGACTACAGGTTCCACAAGGCAGCGCGGGACAACCGAGTCGGAAGTGTCTGCGCCTGCGCTGCGCGGGCGGGGTCTCTAGGGCGGAGCGGCCACCATCTTGGAACGGGAGGCGGAGCAGAGCCGACTGGGAGCGACCGAGCGGGCCACCGCTGCCGCCATGAACCCCGAATAGTGAGTGAGCCCCGCCCGCGCCGTGTGGCGCAGCCTCGATCATGTCTATGGGGCTGTATGCTTATCGAAGTTGTCTGGCCCTGGTCAGAACTGCGCGGCGGACCCCACATCCGGGTCCCTCTTCCGCTGACCCCCCCCCTACATCCGGGTCCTGCCCCTCCCCCTGGGAACCCCAGGACCCCGACTCAACACCCCGAGTTCTCTCTTATCAGGACCCGGAGGCGACAACCTCGAAGGGCAGCACTTGGAGCCCCAGCACCGGCCCTCCCAGGCCTTTTCGGTTATGTGACCCTGCAAATCGGTCTCCCTGAGCCTCAGTTTCCCCACCGCTGCTTGACCACGGGCTGGCGGTTTGGAGTCCATCATAATAGTTTCTGGTCTCCAGAGTCGAGTACTTTCTGACGGGCCATGAACCACTGCCTTTAACTTTCTTCTGGAGCCCGGTTTTCCGGGGCTAGCCCAGACAGAAGCTGACTAGACAAAAGGGGAGCCCAAGCCCCTGCTTGATTCCCTCCCCCTGCAGGTCCTTCCCTCTGGGGCTGCCATTTGCCCTGCCTGGGTTGCACTGCCCTGTCACTCCCGTGTCTGTCCTTTTCTGCCCTCTCACCTTTGCTCAGGCCTCCAGTGCCCTGTCACACAGCTTCCCTCACCTGTCACACTGCCAAAGAACTTTAGGTGAATGTGCTCCCTTACAGTGGGATTTTCATTCCTCCAACTCAAGCCCTTTGGAGTAGATGGCCCACATACAGTTTTGCACCCACGTTGTCTTCTTCCCCTTCTCCGCTTCCTTTTTCTTCCCCAGCTCTAGGCCTCAGATTTCCTTGAGAAAGGGTGAAGCTCAGCAGGGTTAGGAGGGGAACAGAGAAGGGAGGCTACAGGCTGTCAAAGAGTCTGACAGGCCTAGTTTCCAGTCTCAAAGTTAGCCACTGCTTAGGGTAAGTCATATCCCTTCTCTGACCTCTGGTTTCCTCATTAGTTGGAAATAACACCCAATCCGTTGCACTGTTGTGAGGGTTTAATGAGAGGATGCATTTAAAGTACTTCACACAGGGCCAGTTACAGTTCAGGAAGCATTAACCGCTGCTTCCATGGTCACTTGCTGACTGCCTCTTATTAGTGACTTCATCTCAGGCTCTCTTCTTACATTTGTTTTGGCTTCATGGGTACAAGCTTTCATTTTTTGTGTCCTAGGCTGGCACACTATAAGGCCTAGTGTGGGTTTCCTAAATAATTCCTACCAAACAGCACCAGAGTCTCAGCTCCAGCACCCAGCTGGTTGTTTCTTGGTGAATTGTGTTCCTCTCTTTTGCCACAGACGGGGGGATTTAGACATAGCAAGCTGCAGTTTTGGTGAGCTGGCTTATTGGGGACACTGAGGGTCTATTTCTTGGTCCCTTTTCAGGACACTGGGAGGATCTAGTATGTACTATAACACACAAGCAGAAGCATGCCTCACTCACCATGCTGTCATGGTCACTGCAGGAGCAGGGGTGGGAGGAACTTCTTGCCTGCCTTCATGCCTTCCCATCTTCTCTTGCCAGTGACTACCTGTTCAAGCTGCTTTTGATTGGCGACTCGGGCGTGGGCAAGTCGTGCCTGCTTCTGCGGTTTGCTGTGAGTAAAAAGCATCCCCATGTTATCCACTTGAGGTCCTAGCTGGCCACTGGGAGGAAAGAAGGACAGCTCAGAACACAGTAGCTGCAAGACCTGAGAACCAAGAATGAGGTTGCCGGAGCTGCCGGAAGAAGGGCCCGGGCCTCAAAAGTTGGGGTGCTTAGAACTAAGACTTGGCAGTGAGGAGCACAGCTTGGGTAGGGAGCGGGAGGGAGAACCTTCAGATAAGTTTTTGGGCCTGTATGTTCATGTTGTTTCACTGGCCCCAACCTTTCAGGATGACACATACACAGAGAGCTACATCAGCACTATTGGGGTGGACTTCAAGATTCGAACCATTGAGCTGGATGGCAAGACCATCAAACTTCAGATTGTGAGTATGGCTTTTGTGCAACACTGTGACATAAGTGGGGCTCTCTTGTGGCTGACCTACCCCTTTTCCTCCTGTCTCATAGTGGGACACAGCTGGTCAGGAACGGTTCCGGACCATCACTTCCAGCTACTACCGGGGTGCTCATGGCATTATCGTGGTGTACGACGTCACTGACCAGGTACTCCTGCCTCCTGAGCCTTGCCTTTTTTGTTGTTTGGTTTTTCCAGACAGGGTTTCTCTGTAGCTTTGGAGCCTGTGCTGGAACTCATTCTGTAGACCAGGCTGGTCTCAAACTCAGAGATCCACCAGTCTCTGCCTGCCAAGTACTGGGATTAAAGGCGTGCGCCACCACCACCTAGCCTGAGCCTTGACTTTTGACTCTTGCTCCTTTTCCTGTTTTCATTTCCCTTAAGCTTTTTGGAAGGTATACACTATGCTGAATTGCTTCATAAAAAAGGCAACAGGCCACAGAAACAGATTCTACCAAGACCGTGTCCTGAAGTGTTTATGGAAGCAGACTTCACAGCTCCTGCTGCCTTATTATAGACCTTCCAGACTACCCATGTTTGGTGACAGGTAGTCGGTTGGTTACTGCCTGTTCTTTGCTCCTGAAGGCTTTAAACAAGAAAGTGAGGGAGTCCAGCATAAACAGTAGTTCTGGAATCCTGGGTCTACTGTGGTGGCTTCATCAGCCAGGAATTGTCCTCTTAGTATCTGGCGGTTTATGGAAACTGTGTTCTTCAGCTTTCCTTGGTTGCTTACCCCACAAAAATGGCTCTATTGCCAGCCTGTCCCAAATTCCTGGGCTTAATTAACCCTCCTTCTAAACCCCCCTAGTAGCTGGGGCTACTGATAGTCACCCTGTACCTGGGTTTCCATGCTCATGAGAAGTCCCTCATATTCCCATCTTAAAAATGAAGACTTGGTTCAGGCTGGGGCAGTGACTTGCTAAGGGCTTCCAAACAAGTTAGTGGCAGAGGCCAAAGGCTAGTCTCCTGATTTATCTGCTTTGCTTTTCTGCCAATCAGTGCTAGGCTGGGAGAGTTCCTGCTCTGAGGGGCAGAGGCCACATACCAGAGACCCCTGATACCCATGCCTTATCTCCCAACCCTTCCAACAAGCTAGGTGAGCCAAATACCACTCAGAGGTTACCAAGGCTTTAATTAACTGTCAGATCCAGTCAGCTTCTTGCCCAGATTGACTCCTTGTGACTTTTTACTGTTTTCTTCTCCTTTCCTGAATATATTATCTGTATTAGCTCTTATCCCCCACTAAGCAGACATTCTGCCAGTGAGCTGCATACACCCCCCAACCCCTTTGGTCTCTTTTTTATTGGCTCACCCTTGCTGCCCATTAACCTCATATTTTCTGCATCCTAACCAACCCCAGCCACTTCTGTGGTTTGGCTTTTGTCTTGTGTTCTGGGACTCTTGATGTATGTGTTCTGGAATTCTTATGTCCAGACAGATGTCACATGAGTTTCCATCTCTGTGTGTGCTTGCGCTGGCCCCTGGTTTCTGTAATGGGAATAATCTTCATGCTTTTACCCAGAGAACTAAATGGTGAGGCCTCAGTGTTCTAGTTTGCTTTCTATTTCCATAGTAAACACCAGGTGGGAAGAAAGGGCTTGTCTCATCTTAAAAACTGTCGGGTAATAGTCCATCATGTAAGGAAACCAAGGCATGAATTTAAGCAGGAACCTGGGGAAAGGTGCCTACTGTTTGTTTCCCATGGCTTGCTCAGCTTACTTTCTTAGACTACCTGCCAAAGGTGACACTGCACACAGTGAGCTGGGCCCTCCCACATCAACCATCAATCAACGAAATGCCCTAAGGACATGCTCACGGGACAGTCTGATGGCAATCCCTCAGTTTAGATGCCCATTCCAGATATTTAGGGTTATGTCAAGCTGAAAAACGCTAACTAGTACATCTTGTTTCCTACATGAAGAAATTATTTTCCAGAGGTGTTAGTTACTTGCCTCTGATGTCCCAGTAAAGAAAGGCAAAGCCCTTTCTCTGCCTTCAACTGCCTCTGTGGGCTGTACACCAGCTGCAGGATTCAGACTCTAGCACAAGCTTCACCATCTCCCCTGCCTGCCCTCTGCATCCTCGTTTTGTAATGTAATCCTTGAAGTCTGACCAGAAAACTTCCCTTCTCCATAGTCTCAAGGCATCTCTATTCTTTCCCCATCACTTCAGATCTGTCTCTTCATAATAATAGCAGTAATGAGAATAATAGCAGCTCTTGCTAATTGAGTACTTGTTATGAGACAGGCCTGCATTCATTCCTCATGCAAACAGCATCTCTGCTGGGAGTTGTTATCTGAACAAAAGAGGAAACTGAGACCCAGGTCAGGTGACTAGATATCTGAGGTTACATAGTAGATGATCAATTTTGGATGCTAGCCTAACTCTTTAAGCCTGTTTTCTTCTAGATTATTCTAGCCACTTCCCAGTTGCTCTGCATTTTGTTAGTCTGATCTAACCCTGCCCAGACACTATTTCCAGAACACAGATAGACTCCAGTTACTCTTGAGCTGAGAAAACCCTCACTGTATCATGGGTATGCCAAGTTTATACAGGATAAGACCTTTTCAGCTCTGTCCTGACTACCCCTCACCAATTCCTCCCAACCTGTAGCCTAGCAGATGGCTGTTTCCTCCTCAGCTGGTAGCTTTTGCATTAGTTGAGTCCATGCCTACAAGCTGGGGTCAGCTGCTGTCTGGTGGCTACTCTGTTCTGATTCTAGTTTTTGGGTTTCCACATGGAAGAGAAGTGGGAGGGGGAGAGACTAAGCCTGGAGTGGAGGGGACTTCATTTGTAGTCCCATGCTCAGGGCTCCTACCTTTCCCTCAAAGGAGCCCTGTTCTCCGGGCCTGGCTAGGTTGGGTTTGGGAGTTCAGTAACTTTGGACACTATGCCTAGGAATCCTACGCTAATGTGAAACAGTGGCTACAGGGAGATAGATCGGTATGCCAGTGAGAACGTCAATAAACTCCTGGTAGGCAACAAGAGTGATCTCACCACCAAGAAGGTCGTGGACAACACCACAGCCAAGGTGAGCAGGGCCAGCCCTGGCTTTCAGGGGGCTAGGGCTTACTTCCCTTCACCCCTTCTCTCCCTTGCTCTTAATTTCTTTTTGCCCCTTGGCAGGAATTTGCAGACTCTCTGGGTGTCCCCTTCCTGGAGACCAGTGCCAAGAATGCCACCAATGTTGAGCAGGCATTCATGACAATGGCTGCTGAGATCAAAAAGCGGATGGGGCCAGGAGCAGCTTCTGGGGGTGAACGGCCCAACCTGAAGATCGACAGCACCCCTGTGAAGCCAGCTAGTGGTGGCTGTTGCTAGGAGGGGCACTTGGGGAAGGGAAGGGACACCTTCTCCAGATGATGCCCCTGGAGGGGGCAGGGAAGTGCCTCCCTCTCCTAGGGCATTTGAGTCTGTGGCTTTGGGGTGTCCTGGGCTCCCCATCTTCCTCTGGCCCATCTGCCTTCTGCTCTGAGTCCTAGTCCTGTCAGGGCCCCCCTTGGAGGACATGCAGAACCTGTGGCTGGGGTGGTCACAAGTACTGCTCTGCTGCTGCCTCTAGGTACCTTGAAAAGATGCCCACCATGCACCTTTCTTTGGAATGAGGGCTCCGCTGCCTGTCACTCACCCCTTGTATGCTGCACTGGGTTTCTCTTTTCCTTTCTTCCTTCCCAATAGCTGAGGGCCTCCCTGCCTCTGCTGCCCCTGGCTGTAGGCAGTGGCCGGGGGATCGGGGGCCTCAGATTCAGGGTCCTGCATCGGACCTCAGGACAGGTGAGGGGGCTGCAAAAGCCCAACAGCCCACCTTTCCTCACCCCTGCCTCGCTCCACCGCCTCCCACACTCAGATTGAGCCGTCCAGCTGCTGTTGGGTCTTGAGCACAACTAGGGTAGGTGGGTGGATGGCGGTGCTGGGCCTGTGTCTCAAGCCCAGAGGGAGCCTGCTCCTGCCTCCCCCTGCCCTGCCAGAGCCAGGCCCATGTGCTGCCTGCCCACCGAGCCCCTTTGTCCCTGAGAAAGGTGGAGGCGGAAGGCCCACCGAGCCAAGGCCGGGCACCAGCCTTAACCCTCACTCTGCCAGCACCACTTCCATTTCCCTGAGGCAGCACATCTGGCTTGTTCTCCTTCCATTCCTCAGAGCCTGAGGGGGGCCAGACCTACTTCTCTGGGGAATGTAGGGGCCATTTGGGGTTGTGGGACTCTCTCCCCCTCCCCACTCAGAATGCCAGCCCCCACCCTCTGGCATAGCTTCCTGCAGAATACCTTTGGTCATTACCTAAGAAGCCATGTCCTTTGTGCTGTCGTCTTGCCAGTCTCGCCCCTATACCCTCCCCACCCTTCCAGTGTGTATTTAAATCCCTGGGCTGCCCCTCTGGGAGGGAGCCTCTTCTCCCAGGTTCCCCTTTGGTGTCATGTCAGGCATTTTGCAAGGAAAAGCCACTTGGGGGAAGATGGAAAAGGATGAAAAAAAATAAATTTCCACTGGCCCTTGGATAAGCCGAGGGTTTTTGCAAGGAAGCTGTGGTGACTTGAGTGGTCTGTGGTCTGAGTCCTGCTTTGAGTTTCTGGATGGAACTGGAATTCAGAGATTGGTATGATACATAGGGGGTCTTAGCTCAGACTGCCCTAAGTTTGCTGGTAAAAGCCCTTGACCCACATTCCTAGGGCTGGCAAAGCCTGCTGTGCTGCTGTGGGATGTCCCCAAGGGCCCAGCACGGATCTGTCAGAGGGAGGCAGGCTGAAGGCCATCGGGTGATCCCACCATCAACACCCATTGTGATGGCTTGCAAGCCATGAAGTTGGGCAACAGCTGGACACAGGGTCGGGCATTGGGCTCCACAGATGTACTGCATCGTGCGTGGTCTTCACCTCTAGTCCCCCTCTTCTGCCTTCTCAGGCTTCAAGCCAGATGCCAGCTATCCTGAATATGACAAATGCTTCACATGAGGGCCTCAACCAGTTTCCACCGCCAGCATTGTATGTGAGGATTGGAGACGAAGTACTGAATGTGGCTGTGGTGGGCTGGTTGTGTGAGTCTTGAACCAGGAACGTGTGTCCGTCCGAGTCTTCCATGTTCTGAGGTGCACGAGTGGTGGTATTGGGCCGTCCAGGCTGCAAGAGGATGGCGGAGGGCCACTCTTAGTCTCAGCCCCGCCCGAGGCCGCTGCACGGCGGCCCCGCCCCCGGCTCCGCCCCACCGGCTTCGCGGGCTGGAGAGCTAGGGAGCCGCGGGCGAGGGATCGCAGGATGAGCGATCGGGGCCCGGGCAGCCGGCAGCGGACGCGCCCCCGAGCCCCACGGCCCGCGCCCCGCGGCCCCGCGGCCCCGGTCCTGGACGTGCCGCCCGTGTCCATCGAGTTCCGTGGGCCATGCCCGGCCGGCCCTAAGTGTGGGCCGGGGGGCGTCCCCTTGCGCCCAGACCCCCGCGCTGGCGCCCCCGGGCCGCCGCCCGGCGCGGGGGCCATGGCGTTCACCTTCGCAGCATTCTGCTACATGCTCACCCTGGTGCTGTGCGCCTCCCTCATCTTCTTTGTCATCTGGCACGTAAGACTGGGCTCAGACTGGGGGCGGGGTGGGGGGCAGTGGGCTTAGGGAGCAGCCTGGGGATGGGGCGGATGGTCTCAGAGCCCCGGGGAAACTTGAAGGGTCTTTTCCACTATCCCCCATCCATTGGTTTCTGTTCACTCCCCTAGCCCCGCGCCATTAATACCCCTGTTGTCGGCTTCCTTCCCCGAGGGTAGCCCCCCTTCCTTCACCGCCCCCGCCTGTCTGTGGGTATGTCAGTAGGCCCTGACCCTCTCCTTGCCTCATCCAGTCATTGGGCAAGGGGTAGAATTCTTGATCCTTCTACATCCTTATCTGTCCACCACCCCACCTCGTCTGTCCATCGGGCAGTTTGTGTGTTACACACACACACACACACACACACACACACACACACATACACACACACCTCCTTTGTGGGTTTTTCCAACCAGTGTGATGGAGCCAGTTGCTATGGCAACTGCATCTGTTTACAATACCCACATATCTTGGAACCCATTAACTCTGTCCCCTCCCCGGACCCTTCTCTGACCCGAGGGACCGATTTGAAGTAGCCCCAGAAACCCAGTCCCCACCTTGCCTCACTTTGGGTAACCCTCCAGTTCCTTCCCACTTTCCAGCTTCCTTCCCATTCCCCACACACGCCCTTTGTCTTTCATGCCCCCCACTCCTGTTCTGCCCTCACTCTGGCCTAGCCTGACTCTTCAGAATGTCTCTGTCTCATCTCATCCTGATAGCTTATCCCTAGACAGGGTTCTTCTACCTACTTCTCCTAGGCTTTCCCAAGGGCCCCCTCTACCTGGGCCCTTTCTCCTCACTACAGAACTATGAGCCTCTGACTCACTGTTGGGGTCACTGCCCCCTCGCCTTTCCAGCTTCTCCTCTGCCTCTGCTCTCTGAGGTTTCTGCCCCAAATGAGTCCCATCCAGGCCTCTGTTGTAGCTACTAGCACTCTCTATGTGGCTCTGCACACACCTCACTGGCCCTCTTCTGGGGTCCTGTTATCTGCCCACACCCAGCCTGCTTCCCTCCCTCCTCACTTTACTGCCTCCTTTCTGCTCTCCCACTCCCTCTCTTCCTGGTGTGTGCTGTGCTGCCTGCTCCCTGGTGGTCCCGCTCTCTGGGAATATCCCCATCTCTCCTTTTGTCCTTCCCCTCCTTTCTCTTTCGTATATGCTATACCGCTACTGTATGAAGATCCTAAGCCAAGAGTATCTCCAAACATGTCCCTGTCTCTAGCCCTATCTCTCACTTTGCTCTGGTCGTGATGTGAGACTTGGTTGCCTTTGCTTTTTCTTGCCCTCTGTTTTTCTCTTCTTCCATCACCTCAGATCCAGTATGATCTTTCTGAGCTTCCTGTCCCAGGCTCAGGGCCTTGGACCAGTCCTTTTGGGGCTTGGGAGAGCTTGGGTCCTAAGAATTAGAAAGAGTGGAGACACACAGGAGACAACTGGCTCCTAAAATTCAAGAAGCCCACTCCCCCACTCGTATCCCCTCTTTTTTTCTGATAGGACCCCTTCTCAGGAGATTCTCAGTACAGCCTGCATAACATCTGCAAGGGAGTCAGGCTCCATAAGACCCAGACTTTGCCCTTTCAGAAGGCCGGGCTGAGATGGAGTCTGCTAAGGTTTAGAGCAGCACCTTTGTTCTCTCAACAGACCATTCAGGAGCCCCCTATACTATGAGCCACTGTGTTTCTTCAGCCTTTTAGCTGGGTCATCTTAGCTAGCTGGAGCAGTTTCCTCATCAGGAAAATAGGCTTGTAGACATGATGTCTGGGACAGGAGATGTGGGTCTCAATCCAAAGTTGTTAAGTAAAACCTTCTGAACCAGGACCCCAGGTCCTACTAATCACTAGGCAACCCTGGTGAGTGACGTGTGTCAGCTGTCACAGTGGGGATTGTTTGTTCCGGGGTGAGGGAGACGCTGAGTCAGCGCCAAGCAGCCTGGGGGGTGGGAGGCTCGACACCCGCTGCCTGCTGTTGGTGCCAGCTCGGGGGCAGACAGCCGGCACCCTTCCGCCCCTGCTGGACCCTGTTGCTGTGCCTATCAGGCAGGCAGCTGCCCAGAGTCAGAGGATTGGGGGGAGGGGGCTCCAGATGGCTCCAGTTCCCTCCAGGAAGCCCATGTTCTTTTCCTCTGAACCGTATGGGGTCTAGGATGTTTGGGGGTGGTGGGCCTGCTGCCTTCCCTTCCCCCTCAGTCAGGTTTCTTTGCCAGCCTACCTCCCTCAGGTCACCGGCAGGTCCTTCCAGTCCCACACCATCATCTCCTCAAATATATGTTACCTGAGGGTTTCCCCACTTCTGCATGCCCTGCCATCCCTGGACACCACAGAAGGCACTGGAGACCTTCTACCTCCTCCCCCACCACCACACAGGCTGTTTGCAGCTGGCACTGGAGAGCACTGGGATGCATCTCCCACCACTCCGTTTCCATGGCCACCACCCTTCTCACCTAAGCCACCATGGACCCCTCCCTGGACTTCAGTAGGCCCTTCAGTCACCTCCCTGAGCATGACAAAGTGGGTAGTAATTTTAACTGGATTACAAGTTTACCACTCAGTGTCTGTGTGGCCTTGGACAGGATACCTAACCTATTTTCTCACCTGAAAGTCAGAAATGAAATAATACTAGCACTTAAGTCATCAGGTTGTTTCAAGCTTTCAGTGAGCTTTCAGTGAGCTGATAGAGCCTGTGTCTGTTAGCCAATCCTAACCTAAATCTGATTGTCCCACTCTAGGACTCCCTCTACTCTTGTGTTAAACCTAGTCTTGGCTGGCCTTGCAGGGACTGGCTCTGTTAACCTTTTCATCTGCCTTGCATCCGTCTCTCCTCTCTTCCCATTCTCACACAGCCCAGCCCCAGGAACCATCGAATGTTCTTTCAACCTTCTGTGCCTTTGTATCTGTTATTACCACTGCTTGGACTGTGTTCCTCCCATTTGTTCACCAAATGCCTAGTCAGCTTGAACCCACCAACCCATATGGAGTCCCATTCTACCCCTCACCACTGATCAAGAGTTCTCTCCCCAAACCCCTGAGGTGCCTCCCTGGACAAGTGCGGTGTTGCAGCCCTCCAGGGTTCAGCATGTGCTCAGCATGAGGCCTGGGAGAGGAGAGGCCATGTCTTGAAATGTATGGGGAGTGCAGTAGACATTAGGGTTCCATTGTTGACTGCTGTGTGAACTTGAGCCAAGACCCGTCGTTTTACTTCTTCACTTTGCAATAAGCTCCATATGTCAGGGTCCCCAAGTATAAATCCCTATCCCATTAAAGTTCAGGCATGTATGGTATGTGTGTTACCATCCAGCTCCTCCAAGAGGCCCATGTTCTTTTCCTCTGAGCCATCTGGGGCCTGGGGTGTCCAGGGTGGTGGTGGGCCTGCCCCAACCCCTGACAGGCACATGCCCCCCCCCTACCCCCAGATCATAGCCTTTGATGAGCTGCGGACTGACTTCAAGAACCCCATCGACCAGGGGAACCCAGCGCGGGCAGTAAGTGATACATGTGCTGTGCTGGGTGTGTCCGTCCGTTTGTCTTTGTCATGGGTGGAAGGTGGGAATGGGAGTCGGGAAGATGAGGGTGCGATGTGGGGGGGACGGTGAGGTGACCCTGCCCTTTCCCCAGTTCCCGCCCTCGCAAGCACCTGGAGCTGGCTTCGGGGCTCGGCATCCTTCTGGTGGGGCAGCCTTTTCCAGGCTCCGGGCCGTTGCCATGGAGATGCGGGTGAAGGCCCCCTCCATGGCGGCAGTCACCATGGGGACGCGGCTGCTTCCTGAGAGGCAGATACCGCAGAGTGCTCTGGCGCCATCTGGCGACCACATGTGGGGCCATGGGAGGCGCCCTGGTTTCTGCTCCTAGGCCTTCCTTATCTAGGCCCTTTCCTTTCCTACAGCGCGAGCGTTTGAAAAACATCGAACGCATCTGCTGCCTCCTGAGGAAGGTCAGTGTCAGGGCAGGGGTCAGGAGCTCCTAGCTAGTGCTGCCCTCCCTCTTTGTAGCTGGCAGGGAGGCCTTCCTCTTCAGCCTGTTTGATCCACTTTGCCGCCTAAGAGGGCGGGAATGGCAACCTGAGGCCTTTTAGTTCTCAGATCATGGTGGGTTGGCAGTTCCTAAACCTCATTAGCCCTCTGTGCATTGAAGCTTGGGTTGGTCCGGGGACCAGGCCTTTGACCTCTCACCCTCACTCCCCCAGCTGGTGGTCCCGGAATATTCTATCCCGGCCTCTTCTGTCTGATGTTTCTGTGTGCAGCAGAGTGGGTGACCCTGGGCCTCAACATCCCCCTCCTCTTCTACCACCTCTGGAGGTGGGGGGCAGCAACTACCTGGGGAGGGTGAAGATGGCAGCAGGGCAAGATGAGGGTCAGACCTGGGTGGCTAGAGGGGGACTCAGGCCTCCCTCACCCCAGGTACTTCCACCGTCCCGCGGATGGCTCTGAGGTCATGTATGATGCGGTCTCTATCATGAATGCTGACATCCTCAACTACTGCCAGAAGGAGTCCTGGTGCAAACTCGCCTTCTACCTGCTCTCCTTCTTCTATTACCTGTACAGGTGAGGCTTTGACCACAGCAGTTGGAAACTAGGCAAGGGGTATCCTAGACGTCAGGCTCTCAGTTCCCAGTCTCTCTTTGCCTTTGAGGATCATACACAATCCAGGGCATGACTGGGAAGGGTGGTAGGCTTTCTCAGGACACATGTTCACAGCTTCATCTCCCCCACAGTATGGTTTATACATTGGTGAGCTTCTAAGGGTAAAGCCGGCCAGGGAGCAAGCCCAGAATGGACCGGACGCCTGTGCACCCCTAGCCCTGCCCTTCTGGCCACAGAGGCCTCAGCCCTGGGAGACAGGGGGCACTGGTGCCTCCAGCCTCTCCACCCCACAACTGCTGCTGCGGGGACCCCCGCCTTCAGAGCTCTCCCCCTCCAACTAGGGCCAGGCAAAGCTCTAAACAGGGGTGGGGGCTCCTCTGCTAGCCTGCAGCTAGGCATGGCAGTTGTCCTGGAAGGGGCAGGACTTCCGGGTCTTGTCCATTTCAGGGGAACTTGGGCCCTGCCACCAGGCAGACCTTGATCTTGGAAATTCTGGGCAGCCCCCTTGGCCCCTCACCCCCAAAGCTCCCCCTGAAGGTGGGGGGCACCTGCACCAGGAATGAGCAGGCTCAATATGGGGGCAGCCCCATCCCTAGTCTGCCCTCTCCCCTCCCCAGACTTCTCTTTCCAACCCTATCTCTACTTATCCCAAATCCAGCCCACCCTGTCCCTTGGTCCTATTTGTTTTCTATGTTGCCTGGAGGAGTCCGGCACCCCCTTCCCGGCCGTTTGTGACAAAAGATGAATAAACTACTGACAAACAAGCCCCAGTTCTGCTCCTGGAAGGTTAGGATGGGGTCATCTGAAGGGTGACCTGGACCTAAATCCCCAGCATACCCAGTCTCACTGTGCTAGCTCCAGGCTTTTCTCAGATGTGTCTGAGGCCTTGGAGGTCTCCTTGGCAACCACTCTTCCACCCTCCCTTTGCAGCTGTGTCTGATGCAACCCTTCCAGCTGTTTTCAAGGCTGTGTAAGTCACCTCCAGGGTGCTCTCCCTGGATCTACCTACCCTTCTCCTAAACAGCCCCCAACTGAGGTGGCTCCTGGACAGGGGAGACCCAGAGGTATCTGTCCATGGCTTCCTGTGGGCCCCAGGAACCAGGGTCAAGCCAAGTCAAGGAAACCAAATCTTCAATGTATGGAAAAATCAGTGCCACCTGGGACCAGGTATCACCGGACCAAGTGGAAGGTCAGCCAGTATATGATGAGGGGCTGGAAGGCAGCTGCTCCCAGGGTCAGGTACAGCTGGAGACGCTGCTGAGGAGCTGGGCCCCCCATGCTGTCAGGGCCCAAGGCTGCAGTCCGTAAAGAACGCACCTAGAGAGAGAAATGCTGAGGCTGGGCCAGGGGGGGAAATATGCCCCAGAGTTGACCCAGCCGAGAAGAGGGGAGGGACCAACCCACACTCACAATGAAGTACATAAGCGCGGATGATGTCCAGGCCAGAGCCACGTAGTAGCCATCGCTGCCAAAGAGCAGCCCTGTGATCACACTGAGGATCATCCTGGGGGTGCAGGAATGGACAAGTAAGGTCCAAGCCCGAGACTGGCCCTATCTACCAGGACTTAGAGCCACCCAACACCATGACCCATGACACCAGGCTGTCCCTATAAGGAACCAGACTCCAAATGGATCTGCAAGGTTCAGGACTCAGTCCCAGGACTGGAATCTCTTCCCTGGGCTCCCCAAGATAACTCATAAATCCTCAGCCTCCTTTCAAGCAACCAGCTACAGGAGGAGGCTGTTGGAGTAGAGCTGGGGGATGAGATGGGGTAAAAGCATCTCTAGCTGCAGCTAGAGGTTCAAAAGATGGGGCTGCAATCCTTCAAGCTACTCTCAGCCCACAGACACTCACCCCACATATTTGTAACCGCTAGGCCAAGAGGTGGAAGGTACTCAATTCACTGCGTACAGTGGCCAGGTAGAGGCCCAGAAGCAGGGGCCAGCACCTCCATTAACATCCACACCAGTGCTGTGCTCGCACACAGGCCCAACACCTCGGGGAGAACCTGCAGCCATGGGAGAAGGTAGGTCAGAATGAGCCATCCTGTAGCAGGAATGAGGTGAGAGGCTAAGGGTAGCATAAGGGTAGTACTGGGTGAGCTGGGACCTGTTACAGGATCTGACACAGATTGCCTATAAAGGAAGGGAGATAAGCCAGAAGGGGGGTTAGCACCAACCTTTTCTGAATGCCCAGTGCGTGCCAGCCAGCAGCACATACGTGATGAAGGCCATGGCTGCCAAGAGAAAAGGAAGTAGTTAGTCTGGCTTCCTCACCTAGAGCCCCTCATTAGGCATTCAAGTCTACCAATATTCTAGCTTCTCCCATACTTCCTTCCCTGCATATCCCAACAACAGCTAGCATTATTGTGTGGTATGTTTTATTTGTGCCCAGTAGGATACACAGCACATAGCATCTCCTTGGCTCTCCCACAATTCTGAGGTAGAAGCCATTTTTAGTTTTGCTTTACTAAAGGCTGAAAGAACCAGCCTAAAAGTCCTATAGCCAGAAGCTGCTAGGCCAAGTAAAAACCTAGTGCTCCAGGCTGGAGAGACAGCGTCCAAATTAAAAGGCAGGAAGGTGTTATGGAAACATCAAGGTCACATTCAGGAAGTTTCTCTTTTTTGTTTTGTTTTTTCTAGACAGGCTTTGGAGGCTGTCCTGGAACTAGCTCTGTAGACCAGGCTGGTCTCAGACTCACTGAGATCCGCCTGCCTCTGCCTTCCAAGTGCTGGAACTAAAGTTATGTGCCACCAGCTTCAGGAAGTTTCTTAATGGTCACCCTGTCCACCTAGTGTCTAGCAACAGTCACACATGAAAAGCACCAGTACCTCTATGTCCCCAAACCCACATCAGAGACTCACTGGGGATATAGAGGTCGGGAGCATTGAGGTCTTTCCGTGGGGCAGAGGCACATCATGGCTGTATTGCATTTTCCAGTTCTGGCAGTGGCAGGGGTCACATAAGCAGGAGCAGAGAGAAAAAAAAAGGATAAAGGGGTTGAGGTCTGAGGACCAGGTTATCGAGAGTGGGAGAGGCATGCAGCTCACCTGATGTGTGTATGGGAAGACCAACAGTCCTAGCTTCTTGGCTACATAGGCTGTGTCCACAGCAAAAAAATACTTGAGTTTGTTCACAGAGACAAAACGGTGCAGCTGAGTAGAGAAAGAGACTGTGGGTGTGTTTCTTCCCAAAAGCTGCTTGGGGAGTCAAGTGGGACCCTGTGACATCCCAACCCTAGCCAGGAAACCCTGTCACCCTTTCCCTGAGCACAGGCCCACACCTCTTTGTGCACTATGTCCTTCCCTTGGGGATGCTATGGAACTGCCATAGGCCATAGCCATATTGGCCATTGGGTCTCCAAGCAGGTGGTTGACACTGGGCTACATCAGCTCCTGGGGCTAGGTATCCACCTGGTTGGCTGGAATAGCCACCACTTGGATCATCGAAGAGAGGAGGAGAATCTGGAGCTGCCCGGGTCCTGTGCTTGGAACCTACAGGTGTGGAGGTACCAAACTAGATAACAGAAATACAGAGCAAACCCAAACCATTGCCCTTTCCCCAGGCTGAGAAGCTGTGCATAGGTCCTGGAACACCAAACAATTGTTGAGGGAAAAGTCAGAATGTGTTTGAAGAAAGATCTCTCCTTTTGGAGCAATCCTTTACTACATGCTAAAGGAAGGTGCCTAGAAGTGGCTGCCCACTCGGGATTTCTGGGAAGTCTATGAAGGAGATGATCCCTGAATACTAGAGTTTGTACTTGAGTGCGATCACCAGAACGGCAACAGCTGCCTAATCGGAGTCCCTGGACAGTGATCAGGAATGCTGCCAGAGTTATAACAGAGAAAGGAAGTTCTGAAGGCGATGCCGGTTCATGCAGGATCCAGACTTGGGGATTCCAGTTGTGCTATCGCAACCTAATCTCAGGACCGGCCAGCAAGGGCGAAAGTCCAGGTCACGCTGGTAGTGTGGCAGGGCAGGAACCCCAGAGACACTCCCCGCCCTAGGCAGCAGTCACCGCAGGCCCCCTCCCTCAGGTGAGTGGTCGCGCAGGGGATTTTAGCACCCTGCTGCCAGGCCGCGCCCCCGCCCTCCCCACTACTCACGCACCGTGGGCTCCGTATCCCGAGTGATAAGCCATGGCCACGACGATTGCTCTACCTAAGGGTTGGCTGCGCTGAGTCGTTGGTACAAACACTACTGAAACAGTTGCTTCTCTGGCGCACAACTGACCGAAGTTAGCAGACAGCCCGACACGTACCAGAGCTGGCCGATCGCGGCCGCCATGTCCGTCACGTCACACTCCGCTGTCTACCCATTGGCCTTTCGGAGAAGCTAGTTCTGCCCTCGCACACTTCCAATTGGCTACTCGTGAGCCTTTGCCAAATCGCGGATTTTGGCCATAGTCAACTTCCGATAGATAGGGGGCATAGCTATTCAAGACGTTCTCCGATTGAGTAGGAGGCTTATTAATTCAGGCACGACCGGCCAATAGGTGGGGAAGATGTAAAATTTTATTTCCGCGTCTGCGCCGAGGGGCGGACGTTCCCTGCCACGACTACCCGGTAGGAAGACTGAGCTCCCGGACCCACACAGCTACAGAGCTGGCTCCGCCCCCAACGAATCCAGGAGGAGAGGTAGCGGTCGGTCAAGCTCTGACCGATCTCTGTCCTCCGTCTTGTGTTCTCTTTCCTCCAATTCACCCAGTCCTGTAGCGGAGCTCCGGCAGGCAGAATGTGATGTTGTTGCCTGCTTAAAGCAAAGTGACAGTTCCGTCCAGAACCCTCAAACGCTGACTCCGCCTCCAACCTCCCACTCCTTTCGAGCAGGGTGCTGTCCGTCAGCCGGTGCTGAAAATGCCCTTTAGCATTCGCCGTTATCCACTCAAATCAGGAGGGTCTCTAGGGTGGCTTTAAGATCGTGCTCAATACATTATGTGCTCGCGCGCGTACGTCGTCTACACACGCAAACGCACGCACGCACGCACGGGGTAGTGAACAGAAAAGACCCAGAAGGTCCGAAATTCTGGAGATTCTGGTAGTATACATGGGAGGAGGAATCCATATTGGGCCTTGTCCCATTTCCTCCCAGTGGGTGTGTGTGGTCTGGTGGATTTGGGGAAGCAGAAGTGTGCTGATCTGTCTCCTCAATTGCATTCGGGCTCCTTTTAGTCATCGCCCAATCCTGTGATCTCAAAGGTAAGGGCCATTAAGCCTTGTTCCTAGTTTCCCCAGACTCTTCTTCCCACCCAGGTTGTAACCACTCCCACCCTCAGAAGACATCTCCTCACACACTGTTCTCCAGAGAGCATGACATACCCCCGATATTTGGAGTTGATTACCGTGTTGTTGCATAAAGTGATACCTTCCTACTCCCCAAACAGCCCATGAGAGCCAACGGCTGCTTTTGCTTCTCCACCTGGGATGCCCTTTTCCCTTCCTATCAATTCGCCTAGAGCCTTTAAGAGTCACATTAGCCTGCTTGTGAGATAGTTCAGCAGGGCTGCCAATCCCAAG